GTTTTAGAGGTGGAGAATGTGATGACGTCATCACTTGTGTTGCAAGTGAATTCAGTGTTCCGAAGCCTAAAAACCTCTTTTTACCTCACCTTGATTTACATGCGTGGTCCGGACCTATATCCGGAAATCCTTCTATGTGAAAATATAAGAAATAGAAATTCTAGAGTTAAATTTGATTATGGTTGACTTTGGTCAACATTTTGAGTAAACGAACATGGATCTGTGTTCCGACGATCCCAGGAGGCCCGTAGTAAAATATGAGACTTGGGCGTATGCCCGGAAATGAATTCTGAGGTCCCAAGCCTTAGAAATTAACTTTTGAAAGAAATTATTTTACTGAATTATCTAAGAAATAAAGAAAAGAATTAATGTTTGAAACCATTGTTATCGGGCCCGTATTTTGGTTCCGGAGCCCGGTACAAACTTGTTATAGTTTGAAAGATAACTGTGAAATTTGGTGAAAAACAGAGTTTATTTGACGTGAGTTGGACTTCCGGTTGAAAAGTTATGAACTTTGAGAGTTCTTGATGAAAATGTTAAGTTTTGAGGTTTAATTCATGATTTTGACATGTTATTTTGATGATGTGATCGCACGAGTAGGTCCATATGATGTCTGTGAGTTAGTATGCACACTTGGTTTGGAGTTTCGAGGGCTCGGGTGAGTTTCGGGTAGGTTCCGGGATGTCTTATGCCTAAAACATAGTTGTTGCAGGTTCGGAGAAGTGGAAGGCCACTAAACAAACCAGTGCGGTCCGCACAAAATGGAGTGCTGCCGCGGAGGGGCCTCTGTGGCCGCACTGGATTTTGTGCGGACCGCGGTCAAGAAAAATTTCACTGGTCCGACTTTGGAAGCCTATATCTTTTGATCTACAAGGAATTTTAAGATGATTCAAAAACGAAAGTTGTAGACTTTCGTGTCTAGTTTCCAGAAAGGTAAAGAAATAACAATATGGACATCTGTAGAGAAAGATATAACCAAAATACTAAAGCATGTCACTGCAGTCCACATGGGAGTTGTGCAGCCGCACTCGATTTTGTGCGGTCCGCACAGGGGGTCTGGGAGGGTGGTACGCCTACCACAAGATATAATGAAATGGGAGCGGGTGATGCGCCTACCATAAGATATAATGAAATGTGAGCGGGTGGTACGCCTACCACAAGATAAATGAAATGGGAGCGGGTGATACACCTACCATGAGATAAATGAAATGGGAGCGGGCGGCACGCCTGCCACGAGATACAGGAAATGGGATCGGGTTACACGCCTGCAACAAGATGTAAAAAGAGAGTGAAATCTGCCTTTGTTTTCCTTATTCTTGTTAGTGGTTGATTTTGATTCCTTTATAATTCTCTTGATATTCTGTTTTACCTGTTATTCCCCGAAACATGTTTCCCCATCCTATCTTTATTTGTTTATTTCTGTATTTCTTTTCCGCTGTATATATATTTGAACTGCACATGTTTATTTGGTAGTCTGGTCCTAGCCTCGTCACTACTTCGCCGGGGTTAGGCTGAACACTTACCAACACATGGAGTCGGTTGTGGTGATACTACACTCTACACTATGACAGATCCCGGAGCAGCTTTTGGACAGTAGCTTGGAGGCTTCTTTCAGTCCATCCGGAGACCCAAGGTAGACCTGCAGGCGTCCGCAGGCCCTGGCGTCTCCCTCTGTCCCTATTTCCTGTTTCATTTTCCTTTTATTCAGAAATAGTGTACTGTTATTTCTTCAGACTTTGTATGTAAAAATCTTAGACAGTCTGTGACACTGTGACACTAGGTTTTGGGTGGTTAAGGCTTAAGTATTTGTAATAGATGCAGTTTTCATAAATCTTATTGTTGTCTTCCACTTAAATTTGAATTTCTGTTGTTACCACGTTATCGTCTTATATTTGGTAAAAAGAAATAATTGGCTAATAAAGTAATTAGATTAAAGGTTTGACTTGCCTAGCTCACATTAGTAGGCGCCATCACGACTCCCGAGGGTGGAAAATCCGGGTCTTGACAAGACTGGAGCACTGATGCTCCAAACTCCAGTATATTATATTGGACAATTATACTTGCTGGAACTCCAGTATAATATGTTAGAGTTCTGGCGTACTTATGCTGGAACTCTAGTATAATATACTGATATATTTTCCGGGTTTTAAACAATGTTTTCGCTCAAATATATCTTTACATGAAAAGTGACTAAATTTCAATTACTTTTGAAACTGGGCTATTTTTGAACGACCAGTTGTAAATCTGGCTATTTTTGAATTTCTCCCAATCTCTAAAGAGATCAAGTTGGACTTGTCTAAAGAAAGCTATTCATATTACCCAACTTGTAACTTTTGACTTGTTTCAATTACTTTTTAACTTGTTTTACTTTTTCATCTTTGCCAAATGCTCCAATAAGCTAAAAAGAGCTTAAATGCATATTTGACAAGCTTTAAAGCCTATCCAAACACCCTCTAACCCTATCTAGATGTTTCACTTTTTAGTGATCATCTCAACCAAGTCTAGAAAGTAACTGTTTTCTGGAATGTAGATTTACAAGCAAATCCAAAGAGATACAAGCTGCAAATTTAGGTATTACGTGCTAAAATATTTGAAAATCAGAGTCTAGCAACAAAATTGTCTCTTACAGGATACCAGAAGCAACTGAAATACTACACTTTTTGGTTTTTCCCCATATGAAGAGCACAAGCTCCTATCATGACAATAAGACATGAGAACAGCACCACTTTCACCAACCATTCACTGAATAAAGATCACTTATAATGGCTACTTCCAAGAGCCTCTCGCAACGAAAGAAACCTAGAAGCCCTAAGTCAATATTCAACAATCGAGTACACACAAATAAGCCAATATTTTGCAGTGCAATGTTGCAGAGGTTAACAGGCTCCCATACCGTGCTCGTCTTCATATCCATCGAAAAAAGAAACTGATATAGCACAAAATATCTGATGCAAGTCATCTATCAGCCTATTGTAGAAAAGTGAAGCAAGTCATCTATCTGCCTACTGTAGAAAATTGATTTAAGTAATGAAGTCTGCATCCTCAAAATATTGGAAACCAACCAACCGATTTGATGCTATTTTTGTCCCAGAAGGAGCTCTTGAATTTCCATTTACTAATCTATGGCTGGATCATGTTGAACTGGAATCTGGAAAGCTGTTGAGGGATTGTGGATATCACGGGTCCATATCTCTGCCATGAGTTAGGAAAGCATCAGTATGATGAGACAACCTCTGATCACAGTTGTTATAGGCACCTTACTTGAAAGAACAGAATATGATGTAACAGAAATCATAAATTATTCCACACCTGAACATTGTCGTAAAGTTCAAACAATGGCACAGCAAGAAGTTTTAGGTTTTTGGGGACCGCAAAGTACTCTCTTTCAGAAAGGTGAACAATGAAGAGCTTCTTACACTCCTGCACGACATTCAAAGAGTCAAGTACAACAGGCAAATAAAACAAGGGGATAGTTCAGCCATTCAGAAAAACTTTATACTAATATACCTTTGGTTTTGATATGTGTGGAGGGCAGTACGGATACATTATGGTTTCAAAGTTCGGCCTCCACCAGGTGGCCACACACTCACCTATCTGCATTGACAAATGTCACATCATAGGAAGACATGTTGACAGATATTTTCAAAGAAAAAGAACAGAGAGAGAGAGACAAACGGAGATTGAAGAGAAACCAAATACTTCAATGAAGATCAATAGATTGATGCTGGACCTTTTAAGTTGCTATGTCACAGGAAGATGTTTTCAAAGAAATGAGAGAGTGAATGAGAGAGAGAGAGAAGCCGAATACTTGTGTAAATCAATTGTTTGATGAATGGAACCTTCTAAGAAACCACCAAAAGCTCGTAATGAGATTATTTCAGTAGAAACTTAATTACAATCAGCTAATAGGATATTTAAAGTTTAGGGATTACTTCAGTAGAAACTGAATTACAATCAGCTAATAGGATATTTAAAGATTAGGGACATCCTAGATCACTCAAGTTTAAAAGTCGGACGGGGTCCATTAGATTACTCGTTGTGACAGGTACAAAAGAATCAATGTAATTGAGTGCAACCACATTTGAAATGGGCACATAAATACCATAATATTCTCAACTAAAATCTTAGTGTGTGCTATGACGTCAAGCTACCAATTCCCTCAGTTACAGAGTGAACTCCACCACCCCTTTAGACAAAATAGGTCAACCAAAATGAGACAGAAGAAATATTTCATCACCCACCTCCACACAGCTGCAACAGTGGATCAACATGAATGATACTAAAATGTAACCATGCGGTGAACTTTCACTTCTATACAATAAAAAGATGCCTAATACTATCCTCCTTGTTTCATTTTTCATTATTGTCATACAACATAAAATGTGTCCAAGACCTGTACACCCCTACACCTTTCTCCTATACAAAGAAAAAAAAAGCTACTAAAAAGTGCAATATGCACTAAAATTACCTGCCAATCTGGCTGAAGGCCAGGAGAATTAGCTGCGAGTTTACTGGAGAGTTTCCTTTTCAAACCCTCGATTTCTGCAAACCACCAAAGAGAAAGAAGAATGGCACTGAAACTTAAAGAATATACTATATAGGAAAAGCTAACTAAAGGGTATATCTAAGTAAAGTTTAGCAAGAAACTCATGACTTAACAGAAATGCAAAGAGAATATTATAAGAATAAACTTTTGATAACTATGATAAGAATTAACGTTTCACAAATAAGACAAGAATATACCATTTTCTCCAGGCTTTAGACGTCCACCTGGAAGTTTGCAAAATGTGTTCCCGATTTGCAGGAGAAGAATATGAGGATGATTATGTTCTTGTACCTGTGAATTCACGCGCTATATAAATGATAATTACTTCATAATCACTGTCTCGTTCAATATAAACTTCTCCCAATCAGCTTAATTTATGTGCCAAATTTAGTAGTTTCATGCAAATCTGTCTAAAGAAATTTGTATGAACCGTCTGCACAATTTCAATAGTATGAGCTAGTTTCTTTTTTCTTTTAATTGGTAATCGTATGAGCTAGTTCTTTTAGACTTGACCCCCCCAAAAAAAAAGCGGCCTATAAGTCATCTTAAATTCTTAGTTTGGTGAGCATATATTCTTTCTTCTCCCATCACAAGAGTATAAAACAACCCAAAATATAGCTGAAACTTAGACTGGGGTACAACAATCTTTTTCCTACCCTTCCATTAATAAAATGCTGAGACCTGCTAATAATACCTCTAGGAAGGAGTTCTAATTTTTTATCAGGCAAAAGTTGGATTTTCATAATTCAGCATGCAGAGAATGCAATTGTAGTACAATAGCAGAGAGCTCCCTTACATTCTTTGTCCTATCTAAGACTCAAGGAGCTTACAAAATCCAGAAATATAACAGCATTATTTACATCACAAGCAAAAACGTTAGACCAAGCAAAAACGTTCAGCAAGCATCTAGTCTGCTCACTGCTGTACATGAATTGGGGTTGACACTCCATCAAAGCACCTTTGATCCCTCTCCTTCCAAATGCTCCAAAATAACAGAAATGAGACATTTGCCAAATATTTCTGATGGGTTTCTCAGACTTTCCACCTTTTCCAGCTAACAAATGCTTCCTTCAAATAACCTGGTAACAGCCAATGTAGACCAAAAATGCAGGAAAGCAAGTCCCAAACCATCTTTGCTACAGGACAACGCAAAAACAATGATCTATATTCTCCCTATATGTCAAACATAAATAACACCTGTTGCGGACTGCTATACCTCTTTTTCTTAAATTTTCTTAAGTCAAACATGTTCCCAATATTGTAAACGATATAAAACAAGCCACTTTTCTGGGTGCTTTTATCTTCCAAATTAATTTCCAGGGCCAATCTTCAGTAAGTTTGCCCTAACTAATTTTCCATAAAATCCCTTCACTGTAGAGCTTCCTTTCTCTTTTTCTCCCCCACTGCAGGTAGTCCCCCTCCTGCCCATTATGTGCACATTTTGAAATTTAGCTAAGAGACTCAGCATCCTTTCAATCTCCAGCCTAGGCAGGGGCTTCTGAATGTTAATGTTCCATACATCCCTCTCTTAGTTGGCTAACAGCAGCTTCAGGGTTGTTCACATACATAAACAGATCTGAAATTCCCCCTTTAAGCTATTGCTACCTAGCCTTTTTTTTTTTTTT